CTGCTGCATTGTACTAACAGGTGCTCAGCATGAAAAGGCCAGGAGGCAAATCTTGCTGCTTCATATGAGACAGACCTGTGGTAAAAGTTAGAGCATCCACTGTTATATGGTTTGCATTTGAAGGGTATACAGACATGGCCAAGGATCCAGAGAACTCATTAGAGAGAGTTTCTAGTAGCTATCAATAAAGGTGAAAAGAAGCTAAGATGTGTCAATCTTTGAGTCTGAAGTCAAACTCTGTTGGTCATCAGTCAGCTTCAATCAGCTTTGTCCAGCTTGAGTGTTTAAGCAACCACACAATTATTCAAAGCATTAAAATGTTTTGTTTCCATTTGGCCTATTTCGTGGAGTAGACTGAGCTAGGAAAAGGTTAAATAGTTTACTCAGGTTCTCATAGCAAACCATAAGCAAAACTAACATCATAATTTTAAATGCCAAGGCTGACCGTGGGATGTTTAATCCGCCAATCCACACTACCTTTCCTCATAATGGACACCCCCCATAGACTGTAGCAATGAAAGATGGAAAAATTCTCTGCAAATTTCCTGGAAGTGGGGGGAGGTGGATAAAACAAACTAAAAAGGAATGCCATGCCTCACTGCCGAGGCCCATATAAACACCATCCCCTTGTGTCCCCCTGGACTGATGACACAGGACACAGTCCATTTGATAAGCTGTCAGCAGATGGCTGGATCCCTTATTGTACCCATTACCCACCGACGTCAATTCCAAGCAGGAACAGTAATCTGTGCCCCAGACAGCAGATGGGGAATGAGGAGGTGTGTCTCATCTTGGGTCAAGGGGAAAAAACAGAAAGCCTTGTTCTCCACTCCAGTAGGTTTTTCTGTAAAACAAATCCATCACATAGCAACTGGAATGCACCGGTGTGTTTTCAGTGAATTGCAAAGGGTGTCACCAATAGCTCAGGGTTTTTCTTCACTTCTAACAAGGAGGAGGGAAGTAAAAAAATCAAACAGTGAAATCAAACCAGGTAACCCATTCTGTGTGGAAATCAAACTTCAAATACATTGTAAAGAAGACAAAATCAAATAGCAATGGCAAACCTAAAAAAGGAAGGAGTTCAGTATTACTGGCCTAAAAGTAATGACTAGGGGTTAAAGGGTCAGGAGAGTCAATTATTATTTGCTGAATGTCCAGCCTGGATAAAGCCTGCCTTATGCACATAGACAGCGAGGGTTAAACGGCACATGTTGCATTCCACTACGTCAAATCCCTAATCAGATGTCAGCACAGGCACACACAGAACCAACAAGAATTAAACAATTACACAAGACATCCCAAACAGGATCTTATCATTAAGTTCTTAAGACAAAGACAACATAACTGGATTTAAAGAAGACACAGGGCCACTAAGTTAAGACCACCAGTCTTTACAGACACAATCAAATTGTCAGGCATTTTAACCCTTCTTCTAGAAACTGTAGATTTTTAAGTCTCAAATAGCTATGAGAATCTTGTCCTACTAATCCCGTATTCCCAGTATGGCAAATCAGTTCTAAAGTTATTTCTGCCTCTTAACTTGCTTGGAGCTTTTTGATAAACAGCACAGTCACTCAGCAAATTCATTCATGGTCACCCATACCCCTGCCAAAATCATACACCAAGAGGGACTGATCATGCTTGAAGAAATACATATTGGTATAACTGGCAGACACAGATGATACTTTGCAAGGCATACTTAACAATGGCATTTTAGCCTGGCTGTCTGCTGATCTTGGGGAGCCTTCAGACATCTCCAGCTTGAGCTCTGCTACTTTAGTCATGCAAGCCTGTATCACTCTACAGTCCCAGGACATCTGAGAAATCAGATGAGACCACAAAGAAACCTGACAGCAGGAATATGAATCAAAAGCAAAACTCAGACATAAGCACTGCCCTTCCTTATGCTCCTGAACTTGGCAGTCACCCAAAGGCAGCATGGCATGGTAAGGATGTGAGTGACAAGGTCTGGCAAATGAGTATTTTGCAGACTGAAAAATGGGAGATGGGGAGACTAACCAATTTCCCTCCAACTCCTCTACTTTCCAGCCTAGAGGAAAATCACCTTTGTTGTAAATGTACCCTGACTGAGGAGGGAGGGCTTGCTGCAAAGTGAAAATTGAGTCATCCTGTTGAAAGACACACATCAGAGATGTTTCTGTGAAGCTATTCCTCGCACTTCAGCTAATGGCTCCCTTGCCTTGTCAGAATGTCTAAACTCCTCAGAAGTTATGGCTACAACATAGCTGAATTCAGCTAATTACTTGCCAAAGCACTTCTTTGGACACAATGTTTCCCTTTGGAATGTACACAGTCACAGGAAACATTTTAACTTCTTTCTCCAGGCCTAAACTAATGTATTACAACCCTAAATAAGATAATGCATATGAAAGTTCCTTCTAAACAGCAAAGTGCTAGCCAAGTGTAAGGCAGCATTAACCATATATACTCTCATTAGTCATTGCTGCAACCAAGTCAGAAGATTGTTTCCAATCACCTGCTGTTAATTCTTTTGAGGACACACATCAACTTTTTAAAAAGCCACGCATTCATGCTTCCCAGGAGGAATCACATGGAGGGTATGGAAAAATTGGATTCCTCAAAGGCTAGGTTCCCCAGTAGGCCAAAGGTTATTTATTTAAATGAAACAAAGGAGCAATTTAAGGGTAACTGGGGGGCTTAGAATTCCTCAGTGTGACTCTGTTCTCTGTCCCCATCCTATAGCTTCAGAGCTTAATCCAAGCACAGGTCAGTAGGAAATGCACAGGTGACAAAAATTAGTCCACAGTCCCCAAAATACCCACCCCACTCCCAAAAGCCATCATCCTCTGCATACATACCCAAGGCTGGCCTGAATGGGTTGACTTTACTGGGGAGACACAGGGAGAGCAAAAGATGAACAGGGCCTGGCCACCTGATCTTTGCAGAGAAGGAACCAGTTTCTTTTTCCTGCACAATGAGGTCAAAAGCATTTCAGAATAACACTCTGTCGGATCCCCACCTACCTACCACTTACAGAGTAAAGAATCACAGAACATGGACCGTCAAGAGCTAGGAGTCCAAGTCTGCCTCATTTTACAGGTGAAAACACTGAGATTCAGGAAGAGTGCTGTACCCAAAGTCACATAACTGATTAATGCCAGAACTAGGTCTCCTGAGTCTTCCAAAAGCTTCTAAAATCTTTCATCTAAAAATCAGTGGTGCTGCCAGGTTTGACATCATCAAACCAGCAACAGTGCTGGTCAGGCTGAATTTAGTCCTTTGTTGACCTTGTAGAGAAGCTGTTGCCAGAGGCCTCGAGACCACTTCATAGAGGAGGCACCCCCTGACCCTCACCACCTGTCTTCCTAAAAATGCACTCCTGTCCCAAGAGCCTCACACAGTAGCAGTTGAGATGTGTTGTTTCCTCTCATTAACAAAAAGCCCATTCATAAAAAAGAAAGAAAGAGGACTGGCTCAAATTTACACAGGAGGTCTAGCTGGGACAGCCCTGGACTTCCTCTGAATGGCATCACTTCCCAAGAAGCCATCTCTTAGAAGCAAATAAAAAAAAAAAAAAACACTTCCTACTCTAGCCCTGCTCAACGCTAACAGCCACCAAAGCTATTCACAGCTTGTCACAAGGAAGGGACCAGGGGTCATTCACTGTATCTTACAGATTGGGAAACTGAGGCCAGGATCCTGTAATCAAATGAACCAGGAGAAACACAGAGCTACCAAGTACCCAAGTCAAGACACAACACCATCCTCATCTGCCCTCCCCCCTCCACCGCTGCCCCAGGACTGCCACCCACTGCCACCCTTGCTTTGGGATTCACAGCTTGCAACCCCAAGGAGAGTGGGTTTGCTTTCCAACCCAGCCACTAATTCATCTTTTGGCTGCAGGTAAAGGACCTCCTTCCTATCCCTATCTCTGAGCCCTACCAGGGCTGTAAAATGGAGATGATAATCTCAACCTCCTGCCTGACCCAGGGTTGTCACAAGTCTCCTGAGACTAACCTTCCAGAAATGTAAAAGTGATAAAGATGCTAATGACAGGCTTCCAAACTGCCCCTGAATAAAATACACCAGATTTGCCATAGCTGATGGCGTTCCCCTTTCCCCCAGCCTCCTCCTCCATGATTTTGTAGCGTGAGAGCATCTCTCTGCACAGGCTGAGTGCAGAAAGAGGCTCACTCTTGGTCCTCACCCAGATTATTTTTATGGATCTGGCGCCTTTCCTTTTCAATCCCATTTGGGTTCCTTAGCACTGCTAATGAGCAGGATCGGGAAGGTAAAGAAAGCAGCTCTCTGAGCACCACTGGACTGGGACCACAGAAGACAGAAAGTAAAAGATGGAGAGGTTGCTTGGCAAAAGACAGGTACCCTGTCACCACAGATAGAAAGCACCAGCCCCGAGTTCACGAGGCAGCCTGGGACCTCTTTCCTAGTACACTTAGTAGGAGTTTGGTGCTGCTTCAACTGCTCACAATTAAAAGGCACACCTTACCCGAAAAGCAGAAACTCCCAAATGAAAGCGTCAGTAAGAGAAACCCATACAAGTATTTCCCCCCAAAGTACCACAGTGGAGACAAGGAAGCATTATGCGACCACCCCCAGGAAAGAGTGTCACCAGGCCACTGGGAAACAAACTACCACAGAAGCCCAAGGGGTTGGGCCATGGGCCACAGAGTGATTCAGAAAGGGCTCCTGGCTGGGGTTGGACTTCCTGCTTGCACAAGGCCAGGGCAGGGCAGGGTGGGGAGGGGCAACGGCCTGAGTGCCAGTCGTTCCTAGGGCTTGGAGCATAGGCTTCCTCACTTCCACTGTGGGGCTGATACAGTGCGTACAGGTGAGACAAAGGCAAATCGGAAATGAGCACAAAGGCAACCACTCATTGGAAAACCATCTGTAAGGGTCCCACTTCCCGCAGCAATGAGGTGTTCTACGCTACCGAGTGTCCTCAGCACACAAATGACTCTTATCACTTAGGCTGCCCAGGAAAAAGTCAACAGACTCACATGCATCATGGTGACCAGGTGACAGGGGTTGAGCAGGTAGATGACGGTCTTGGTGGCGAACTTAAAGCCCACCTCCACCCCGAAGGTCAGGCACAGGGCTACTAAGAGCAGATTCTTGCTCAGGCTCTCCTTGCCTTCCTCTGGCCGCTGGGTCACCTGCTCTGGCTGGCTGCCATGGCCACCCCTACCGTCTTCCTTCGTCTGCCTCAGGATGTGCCGCAGGGCCACCAGGATCTCCAACAGGGCCAGGGTCAGCACCACCACACTTTCCAGCAGCCGCTGCTGCCAAGAGAGGAAGGCAGCACAGTCGGGGCCCCCATTGCCTGCAAAACTGGGGTCCACGCCCCCATAGAGCCAGTCCAGGAGACTTTGGTAGCTATACCGGGACATGATGCAAAGTGGTTCCCCTTGCCCACTGTGCAGGAAGTAAGAGCGAGATGGAACACACGCCCAGAGGGTTGCCCGGGTGCTGGAACATGTAAGGAGGGCACACCCCCGCACCTCCCTCCAGACACCGGGGCACCGAGAGCAGGGGAGGGACGCTACACGCGAGGCCCTGGGTACAGTGCTGGCTCTAACTTGTCCCCACGGCTGTCTGGGGAGCCCCCCGCGCTTCTCCAGTGGCCACCAACGAGGCAGGGTTGAAAGGAGCCGTTGGCCAATCTAAAAGGAAGGAGAGGAAAAAAAAAAAGGTCTCAAAGAGGCAATTGCATCGGGAATTACGAAGCGGGGAGGGGTAAATAGCAAGGGAAGAAAAGGGGAACAGGAGCAGCGGTGAAGCAAGCAGGGCTCAGGGGAAGCCAGAGGCCGAGAGGGTCAGGGCGGGGGCGCCGTGGGAACCCGGCAGTGCGGCGGGAGCGACCCCGGGGAGGCACAGGGGGTGAGAGCGCGGGGACACGCGGAGGCTAGGAGAGCAGCTAGCGGGGCCGGGCAGGCGGGGAGGGCGACGGGGATGGCAGGGACGCCCGACTCCTCGTCTCACGCACTCCACAGGGGGATGTCTTACTCCTGCAACCGCGTGGCCGTCTCTGCCCCCAGCTAGCAACTTCGCCGCGACGGGCCCCTCCAGCCAATTTAGAGCCGTCCCGGTCCAGCCTCCCCGGCCCCGGGTACACCCCCGAGCCCCCAGCTCCACCCCCCGGCCGCAGACGCCCGCCCTCCGGGCAGCACCACCCCCAGCCCGCCGCCCGCCCGGGACCTGCCCCCCTCGCGCAAGCAGCGGCGGGAGGAAGAGCCGGCAGGGAGGGCTGGAGGCCGGGCCAGCCGGGGGCTGGCCCGTCCGTCGGCCACCTCCCTCCGCCCCGGCGCTGCATCTTCCCGCGCCACCC